AATATCTCTGTCAAAATATCTTTTGTAAAAATATCTTATGACAAAAATGTCTTTGATCAAAATATCTTTTTAACTGATTTTTTTAAAATAAGATAAGATAATATTTATTGGCTAAAAAACYATTTCTACCATTTCTACGGTTGGGGCGTCCGATCCRTGTATCCTCAAAATAGTTAATTATCGGTGATAAAATATTTTCATTTTCCACATAATAATTTGATTCAACTAGCTAAATCTTCAAATATTGTTTAGTGTTATTTATTGGAACAAAAGCAAGTGCACATAGATGTCGAATTTGTAATGAAAATTCTGCATCTTCAGCGTACATATTTTGTAATCCATTTTCTTGTATTTTACGCCATAGACATTGTTGGAAATGAAAAAACATCCTTTTATTTCCGAATTGGGAAATACGTCTTTAAATGCTAATTTAAATGGTTGTTCGAAATCAATCATAATTCTGTTTGGATTCAAATCCGGTTCAAATCTTTTTAAAACATTTAAAATTTCTATATACGATTGTTTTGTACGATCAGTCATTAATACGTAAACAACTGGATAAGTTGTTTGGTTATAACATACGTGTATGGTATATAATTGTGAAAACAATTTTGGAACTGTCCGAAATGTCCCATCTGCAATCCAAATATTAYAGTTTTTAAGTATTTTTAAATTATCAATCGTCGAAAAAATCAAAATTCTTTTTTCGTTTTTATTGTTATAAAGTAAAAATTGTTTATTATTAACTAATTGGTATTCAAGAGGTATATTTAAATCGTTAACTGTTAATGGATTTTGAGGACAAACTTGATCTTTGCAGGACCTTACTCTACGGATACCTAACCGATAAGGCCTTTACCATTTTTATGTTAATGGCAATATGGCATAATATGTATACGTATTAAATACCTATATAGTCTATAGTGATGGGGATCAACAGCCAGTTTTTGTGTTATATTATATTATATTGTCATATTATATTTATACAATAAAATATAAAATTTAAACCGGAGATACAATGATATGTAATAAGCTAATAAAAATAAAATAAAAAATATTTTGTTCG